TGATGACAGTGTAGGATAAAAAGTCAGTCACCACCAGAGTCAGTAGGACTCATCCAGTGGGGCTAACTAACAGCTGTCCAGACATCTGAGGGCCAGAGGAGTGCTAGATGCAAAAATCTCACAAGGGGATCATCATTTGGATACATCGTCTGTGTAAAATCTGATGGCAGTCCATCCAATATTTGTTGAGATATGTCAGCTTGGACCCACCAACACTGGCCTCCCTCGAGCCATGTAGGTAGTGTGGCTGAAGACTCATGGACACTAAAGAGCAGAAGCTGTCAGGTCAGTGGGTTCGGATTCAGTTCAGCTCAGTTTAATTAAACAGCTTTAATCATCGTCTTGCAGAGCTGAAAAAAGTAAAAAATGGCAACAAAAATGACAAACTGAAAAACTGTTGCTCTTCATATTAAACCAGGAATCAAAGGCACAGTAATAATTGGAGGAAGATATTTTAACAACAATCAGCAGGTGCAAGTTTAGATTTTGTGTTTATTACAGTTTTCTACACTCAAAAGAAACTGGTGACCCAAGTACCTGTGCCCACCTTGGGACTACTTCTGTGAACAAGGTATGTTTTTCCTCAGCAGTTTCTGAACAAAATAATCCACCATGTAAATAAAAACCAGGACTCTGTCTGAAGCTGAGACTGCAGGTCATCTGGAGCTGGAAAAAAGCAGCTGGACGTCCACAGCCAGCAGAAACAAGTGGTAGTGCCAAACAGGTAAGACATAGTCCAGGTAGACTATACTGAAAAAAAGACTAATTAGAAAGAGTACACACCCAAATACATCAGCTAAACAACATTACGAGGGACGGCCACGTTGGTGCTGGTGACATATACAGACCTTTTTCACAGCAGCCATTATGAGAAGAAATAGTAGGGTAAACGGAGACTGCACATTTATAGAAGAGAAAGACTGTTACAAACCGGACTTTACAAGAGGGAACAATAAACAAAAAGAAGTTATTGGTAGCATTATGGGAAATGTAGGATCCAGTGTTTTTAGAAATTGATCCACTAGAGGCCAACAGTCAGAATATCTACAATTAGTTGATTAGTTGTCAACAATGCATTTGATGTGCAACTATTTTGATGATTGATGAAATGTTTTGAGTCATTTTTTTAAGACGAATTCTCTTCTCTTGTCTTTAGTCGTGTATTTGAGAGTAAACTCAATATCTTTGGGTTATGGACAGAATGAGACATTTGAGGACGTCAGCTTGGTCTTTTGGAAACACTGATCAACATTTTACACCATTTTATGACATTTAATGGAGCAAACAAATAATTGATTATTAGAGAAAACAGATTAACTGGTAATGAAAATGATCATTAGCTGCAGCCCTAGTGGAAATGCTAAGCTAGATGGTGCCATGCAGACACTGTGTTTATGTTACAGGTGTTTAAAGTGGTAGAATTTCATTTTTTCTTGTCATAAAGTACGTGTTATTCGTTCCGTCTCAGTCTCAATCACCCTTACACATTCATCCTCAATTACTTCTTAAGTAGCTTCCTGTCCAAACGTCTGCAGTCAATATGGAGGCGCAGGTCTGAATTAACCCTGAGTTGAGCTCGTTAAAGTGGAGGACAGGACAAAGACACAAACACAGCAGGCTGGGGAAAGATTTACAGTTTACTTGTGGCACAAATCTTTTTAACCTGCCTCATGTTTATTTAGGACACACAGCTTTAAACAAATACAAACAACACATTCAGCTAGAAAATACTAGGGAAAAAGAGTAAAAATTCAGTTACACATAATGAAAACTGGATTTGGCTGATACAAAGGCAAGATTCAGCTGAAGAATTAGACCAAAAGAAATTCCATTTGTATTTTCTGATACTTAATTGTGTTTTAAATATCATATTGATCTCTTCAGATACTGTATGTGCACATCAATAAGTTAAATAATATAATATTCATGTGGTCGGAGGTCACTTGAGAGCGTAGTTGAACTGGTTAGAGAACTTGTCGTGTTTTCTGCTGTCGGCTTTACTCAGCACCTCAGCTACTCTGCGCATGGTGCTCCTGGAGGGAAGGACAGAGCGGACAGCAGGAGAGGACGACAGGAAGGAGATGAGACAGAAACAAAAATAAAAGGTTAAACGTTTGCTGGGGAAATGTGCACAGCTACAGACTGTATTCCACAAACAGCAACAGTACAGGATATGTGCTTAATAAACATTTCGCTATCTAGCCGATTATGTTGTGAAATCAGGTTCCTCTGGCTCCTCCTAGTGCTCCTGATTGTATCTGCAAGAATCCACCCAAAACCAACCAATCAGAGCCGCGAACGATCGTTGATTCTCCCTTTTAAGCTGTTACAAAAATGAGGGAAGGTCTAATAAAAGATGCTACTGCTTTGCATTATGGGAACTGTAGGATCCAGTGTTTTTCAGTCTGGATATTGCAGGTGGCCTAACTCTGTGGAAGTGACGTACTTGTTGAAGACTTTCTTCTCCAGCCTGGAGCGGGACGTGTTGGCGCTCTGCTTCAGATCACTGAGGTGGGGGTATTTCTTCTTCTTCCCTTTCCCTTTTTTGCCCACCCTGTCGGAACCCAGGTCTTCTCCGGTTGCCGCCTCGATGTCTCGCATCAGATCTGCATCACGCCAGTCTGCAACACAAAGAGGAGCGTCGTTCAGCAGTGGATAAGAGGAAACTCTCTCCAGGCTCCTGGACCAGAGAACATACTGTTACTGCCTACCTGTGTTATTTCACCCAGTGCAGCGTGCCACAGTTTCAGCATGTGCTACAATACTGGATAAGCTTGTGATTAGGCAGCTTTATTCTGAAAGCATTACAAAGCTTTTGAAAGCTTCAACAGAGCGTTGCTGGATGTGACACCAATCTGCTGCATGCAGCTACCATTGGCCAATGCTCTTAAAGACAGCATTTTTGATTGGCTGTAGCCAGTGGTGGTTACGACGGGCCCATATCGTCTCGTCACATGATCAAATAGAGATTTGAATTTGGACAATACGAACATACATATTACCCAGCAATCATCATTGCATATTTGCATCTGACAAAATACCAATGAAACTAAGCATTTATTCATTTAAGTGAATATTCTTTCATAGTTTATGTAGAATACGCATCATTCTGTTACAGACTGCTACCATAATGGAGATGGGTTTGCCATTCAAGGGCCCCCTGTCAACCACATAAATTGTCCTCTAAACTTTCACTAGATGAAGTGAATGTTAAACAGTGCTTTGGCTGCTCCTCACATTGAAGATGGCAACAGCTGTAGCCTCAGAATGTTAAAACTTTATTGACTTAAACTGACGTGTGAGTTAAACTAATATATGTTGTACAATCACATTTCAAACACTAGGCAGTGATAAAGTGAAACGTAAAAGTATAGTTTGGGTATTTTGAAGTGAGTTTGTTGGGGTTGTATGAGGTGCTTTGGCACACCCCCAGTTTGGAGTACCAGCACAGAAGCAGAGTAATGCTTTAGTAACGATCACACTGAAGTCAAACGTCAAGATTTCAAGATGGTGGGTGCTTGTGTTTTTCCAAGCACAGTTGGGCTAATGCATAGGGATACGGACGTTGTACAGTTAGTGCCAGAGTAAAGACAACCCGACAGCAAGGTAATGTGTATAGCATACACACTACACCTTTTTATGTGGCTAAAATATATTTTCCTGCTGCCCCCGTCCACAGCAGTACACTGTTCTGCTTCCCTCCTGGGACTCCTGTAGCTGCTCCAAACTGGGGACAATCTGACCGCCGTCTACTGCAGCTAATACACTGACTACAGATAGGTACCCCATACAACCCCACTTCAAAACACCCAAACTACCCCTTTGAAGACTGAAACACACAATACAGTAAAGTATCTCTGACAGCAGCCATGCTAGAGTCACAATCACATTTGCTGAAGCTATCTTCATATGTAATTAACAATACCAGACTGCAACTCTAACAAAAAGTGATGTTAATGAAAAGTGTAATGAAGTAATTACAGCTGATAACGTAAATGAGTTCACAATGCACACTTTTACAGAGCATGAGTAGTAAACAGTGTGTCGTACGGGCTCATTTGGCTCCAATCCGGGCGTTAATGAAAAGTGTAATGTCATAATTCTGGGTGATAAAGTAAAAGCGGCTGTAATGCAGAGTAATGACGGTCTAAACGAAGAGACACTTCTAGTTAATGACGTAGTGCGGTGGAATTAGAGATAAACCTGCAGTAATGCAAAGTAATTACACTGTGATTGTGATGGGATTGAAGCCGGCCTCTCCACTCTGTCAAAACACTGACCCCAGCTCAGTGTGTGTGTGTGTGTGTGTGTGTGTGTGGGGGGTTATTAATCAGCCGGTCTGACCCTGGGTCTGACTGGACCTTCAACTATCCCTTATTACACACACACACACACA